CCGCTGACCGGTACCGGGCTGCGGAGGTGTTACTGCCGGGCCGCGAAATAGCTGTGAGTTGATCGTAATATTTGCAGAATTATAAATATATAAAAATATTTTATCATAATATGTTTTTCAAAAAGTGTTTAATTTTCGCACCTATGCCACCAGTCATATTATTTCATCCAGTAGCTAGTTAATCTTTCACCAGAAAACGGTTGAAAATGGCTTTTATGATGTTCCGAGGGATTCGGCGGCTCAGCCTAAGGTCTCAGCCTCTTGTGCGCACGAGCATGTTACCGGTGCGCCAAGTAGGAAGAGGAGCGCACAGGAGACAACCGTTTGATTGCAGACTGTTATGTTTATGTGGGGAAATGGTGGTGCATACATTATTTGAGATATATTTCAAACTCGGACTTCATTTTAAGGACATGTCAGCCAGGGGTGCTGTGCCTTTTTACGCACCGCCTTCGCTGTGTTTAACTTAATCAGAACAGTTTAAGAGTGACTGCAGGCTGCTACGTGTTAACCACACACACATCGAACTGCCCGATTACTCCCCCTTTTATTAGTTTTATGAAGGAGATGTCCAGTCAGTCACCAAGGCGCATGATGTGTGTGTGTATGTGCTCTGCTCAGCTCAGCTCTGTGTTCGGTGTGTTTGTGTCTGTCCGACAGCGGCATATATGCGGCTGTTCCCAAAATAAATTAGTTTAATCTTAATCTCGATGTAGTGCTATGCTGTCGGGAGTGCACCGGAACGAACGACACTATCATAATATCTTCTGAAAACAAATGCCAGTGACACACACACACACACACACACACACACACACACACACACACACTCTGGCGACCGGACATCTCCTTCATAATGCGCCTTCTCCTCGTTTTCCCAGCATTCACTGGATTATCCGTAAATCATACAAACAAAACCAAAACGTTGATTTATCTGTTTTCCCGTTTTTTTCCGAAAAACCAAAAAACAACACCGGTTCTTTTTTAAACTTTGTTAATATGTTTTGGATGCATATTGTTCTAGTATTTGTTCAGGCTGTTGCATACAATTAGCCTCTGTTGCTACCTGCTGGTGGTGAGTAAATATTAAAATCAGTTAAAATTGACAACCGGTCCGCGATTTTTTTTTAATGTATCTACCGGTCCTTGGCACAATAAAGGTTGGGAACCCCTGCTTTAGGTGACGTTTTTTTCTACCAATTCTAAAATAGTTGCCTAAGTAATGGCATGTTTTTTCAGAGTAGTGAATTGCTCTCATTTCCAACGTTTTTCTTTATGATTTTTAGGCAAATGTAACTCAAAAGCTAGAGTGAAACTGTGTATTGTGTCCCATAAGTCTTTAATGCAAATGTCCTTCTTTCCAGAGCTGCTGAAGAAAAGTAAAGAAGAAGAAGAATGCTAGAATATACAGAACATAATATAACAATTGTTTATTAATGAATGACAACTTGTGTTTTTAAATTGTTTGTTCAATAAAGTGCCATGTAATTTTAATACAAAATAAAAGAAGGTGTGGTGAACTTAACATGTTGCCCGCTTGGTTGCACCATAACCCGGGGTCTGTCTCTCTGTATATCTGCCGGCGAACATCCTTTTACGTTGTAGCTCTAAACCTCACTTCCTTTCCTGACTTAAATGCCCGGCAAGGCTGTTGCACGCATTTAATTTGTAGACACTTTACAGCCAAACTGGATTTTATAACCACCCAAAAGAGACAGACACAACACAGGGTAACTTTCACAAGGACGTAGGTGAGTCGGTCTCAACATTTGACTACACTTTTGTTTGTATAATCTGTCAATAATTTCACAATCTTTTTGTTTTTTTAGGGTTTGGGGCAGGGTTTCCTGTTTTGAAAAAGACACAACGGGTTGAGAGGGATGAAAATAGCCCAGACACCGTCTCTCAGGTAAACTTTCAATACCACAGGTTTATTTGAAAACGACCATATGGAATGTGTGTGTGTTTATTATTATTATTATTGTTATTTACTGTATTTAAATGTCACAATGTCAACAGGAGCCGGAGGAGAAGAGTGACACTCCCAAACAAGATGAGGCACAACAGAAACCTAAATGGATGCCACCAAGACATCCGGGGTAAAAACTCAGATAAATCTCAGATTATTGACGTTATAATATTCACAAAAGAGGCTCACTGTGGTTAGACATTTTCTGATTTCTTTATTTTGTGTGTTCCCAGATTCGGAAACTCACTGATGTCCGAGCTGAAGACCAAACTGAAAAAAATCACGAAAGAATGACATGTGGATGAATTGTAATGCTTTATATGAATGTTTGGATATAATATACAAATTGATTTATTTTTTATGTATTTATGAAACTCAATGCAGTGATGAAATGTTCATCACATTCATTATGTGCCTTAATTTTTGTATGTTTTGTAATAAAGCTTATCTGAAAAAAAGAGTATTTGTTTCTACAGCTCTGGGGTGCAAAGGGAAATAATAAACTTCTGAAGTCCATCGTTGAAACTCTGGGGGTGGATGGTGGAAAACATGAAATCAAACAAAGTTTTGAATTTGCTCAGAGCCTCAAGTCATATATGTGCATTACATCAGAGTTGGTTCAATTTAAAGGTTTTATTTGCATATGCACAGTAGCTACAGTGTAGTTATGGCAATGAATAGCTCAATTCCCAGTCTCCTTCAACCATGCAACATAAATATATGTATGACCTAATACAACAAAGTGTGCAAAAAGAGACAGAATAGAAATAAATTAGTGCAAGAGAATGTTGCAAGTGAAGTGACCAATATGCAAGTATTACAGGAGAATAGACAATATACATGTAAGATAAGCTAAATAACTTAAAGTGTGGCTGATATTTGTATACATTGATTTGGGCACATACTCAATATGTTTTTTAGTCGAGTTTTGTTGAGACAGTAGATGTCAGTATTGCTGCATCACATGGACATCATTAAACGCACGAAGAAGAATCATTCAGCTGTGATTGGTTAGAATCATCCAATGAGTGCGAAGTGTTCCGACATTTAAAGAACCGGGGTGGCGCTCCAGCCTGTGGTTGTAAATTCATGACATTCCGATGTTTGTTCAAAAAAAAATGGTCGTCACCAGTTGAAGAGTTTGTTTTAAAAGACTCACAAATAAAGGAAAAAGGTTTGGAGACTTTTCCCAGAGACAACGCTCCCTTCAGCAGTGGCTGTTGAGTTAGGTAAGTCAAAGTCGTTTCCGTCAAACTGTCGTTCCTATGCTACTATTAGCTTCGCTTCGTTCGGGACCTTCTCATGCTTCAGGCATAACGTCTCTACTGTAACTTCTTGACATAAAATGTACGAAACAAGATGTGTCAATGGTTTATTTTAAATGCCATGTTGTGTATGTAAACTGCGCTGCCTGAGACGCTTCTCTGCTGGTCGAAATTGCAAAGTTATTGTATCTAGCAAATGAAATGTTTTCCGGCGAACTAAACGGAAGTGAAAATACATCACAAAGTGGTGGTCAGTGGTCAGTTGGCTTTATTGAATAGTGAAAAGTGTTTTTGTTTTCATCTATATTGATGTACGCAATTGCTTTTTACTAAGAAGTCTATACATTAAAAGTGGGTTTTTTCAACTTGTGTTAACACCAACACATAAATAATAATATTACATACATTTGGAGGCACCTTCCATAACACCCAAGGACACTTTTCAATTCATAAAATATTCTCAAAAAGGCAAAAAACATTCAAACCAGACAGAAACACAAACATGTTAAACATACAAGAGGCAGAGTAGACAGACCCAAGAAAGGGGGGCAAGGACAATACTATTTAGGGAAAAGGGCCATGTACACCTTACATTGTGATCTTGTGATGTCAAATCTAAAAGGAATTCTGACCATGTTTTCATTCACAGGCTGCATGCACAGAGAGGCTGAGAGGACACCTGAAAAAATGTCTGCGAGGCAATCAGTGCGCGGCTTGGATGCATTGCTGGAAGAGGAATGCTTGCCAGAAGTTACGCTCCTTGATGATGCATGTGACTCATTTCTTTCTGGTAGCATGCCAGCTACTCCTGTGACCGCTGGGTCTTTGAAAAGCTGGATTACTTCTCTCCAGCTTTCCCAACTGACTTCATCCCCAAATTCAAACACAAAAGCCTCATCTCAATACCCCTCCTCGACTCCTCTCTTCCCCTCCTCCGGGACTTGACCCGGATATCGATCAAGACACGCCATGTTGAAGGACGTCCCAATAGCTGAAATGCACACGGAGGAGTCGAGGAGGGGTGAGGGGTGCGGGAGGAGACGAAAGCGAGGATACACGAGAGCAGACTACGCGGAAGTGTTTTCACTACTCGCGTATAAAAGCCCCGCCCCCACCTTCACAGCTGGTCGATTTCAAGAGAGGAAAACCGACAACTGGAAGATGAGTGGAAAAGCGTCACATAAATGTATAAGTGCTCACAGCTCCGTGGGAATTATTATGTGCAATTCATTTCTTAAGGTTATACTAACAATTTAAGTCATGTTTAATGATCTTGAACGTCACTAAAACATAGCTATTAAGAAAGCTATTTCATAAATGGCTAGATCTTGATAAATAACAATTATTTGTATTGTTTTGTGTTAAGATATTCAGGAGTTAAATTATTTAAAATGCACAGTCCTGAATGTGTGTTTGTGGTGAATGTGGGGATCTACAGGACACACATTTTCAGAGTAAAGGCTTTCACATAATTATATTTTTTATTTAAATGTAGGCTACATTTTACACCAAAACGGAACACAAAAGCAGGACCATCATACATTGAATTCCTTGACTAACAACAGAAAGATTCATTTAAATAAATATTTAACAACAAATGGGCCGGTTCTAAAGGGTTATTCAGTTAAGCCCGATGAGAGGGGATACAGCTGTGCACATGTCATCATTAACAGACGTAGTTTAAAAGTGACGTTTGAGTGAACGAGGACATCCCAATTAATACCTGAGGACTCCTCTGTCCTCGTGTCTCTCGCTCGCATCTTACGGAGGCGGAGCTAAGACGCAAGGAAGGGATGCGAGTGAGGGAAAGGAGGAGTCGAGGAGGGGTATTGAGATGAGGCTCAAGACTGAAATAATCCGCCCTCTGAATAAGAGCATGGATCTTAGCCAATCTGATGTAAACATGAAAAAGTTGTCAGAAATTAGATCAATTGACAGTAAAAGTGATAAAGAAAATAACAAAGGCTACTCTCCTGTACTGTCCAGACATGCTTGGACAACAGCTAACGACTCTGATGACAAGATGAAAGACCTCTCAGAGAGTATTTGTGCTCCTTTGGGCTGGCTGGATAGCAGATACTTCCCAGATATTACTCTTCTTGATGTTACGCGGGATTCTGAGCTATCACAAGTAGAGGACTTATCCTCCACGGACGTGACACAGGATAAAACACCAGTGGCTAATCTGGAAAGCAACCAGCCTCCCTCAGAGTTCAGCGAACAAAGTGGGACAGAGCCTGACGGGTCAAATATGGTTCCAAGAGAAGAATTGCCAAGTACTAGTACTACTATTACTGGACATGTCACCCACACCACAATCTCCTTTAGCGAAAAATCTGATAAAAGTGTGGGGGGAAACGGAACGCGAACATATCTGGAAGTAACGCAGGATATTTCTTCAAGCAGTGTTTTTGAAAACGGTAGGCCCTCATTGGAGCCCATCGGATCAAACATGGTGAAGATTGAAACATCAGCTGAAAAAACATTTGGCACCCATCCTGCTAATGTCACACATGACTTAAGCTCCTCGAGTGACATGTCTGCTCAGTGTGCTGCATCACAGCTCTCTACCTCTGATGGGAAATGCAACACTAGGTTAAAGAACGTCACCTCTGAGCTTTATGTTGAACCTGTGCTTGACTGTAATTCTGTGGAAGCCAATGACAAGTCACTTACCAACCATGATGCTGAAGTGACGACCAAGGAGACACAACCAAGCCCAAAAACATCTGGGTCTGCTAACGGCACGTTTACCTCCCTCCAGCCCTCGCAATCGAGTTCCTCTATGGATCTAAACGCCACTGCCGAAATAACTAGCCCTCAGAACAAAACTCTGGATCTCCCTCCATCTGATGTAAACAGCTGCAAAGCGAAGAGTCAGGTTACAGTAGACGCTACTTCAGTCATTAACAACACCATCGAAGGTTCCCAGAATCCAAATTATTCCGCTGTAAATGCCAGTGGTCCCGGTAACATGGTGAACGTCACTTTTCCCCGACATTCTCTTAAAACATCAAGTGCCGGTACCATTTTAGTGGAATCTGGTGCAGGAACATTTTGCCTCGAAAACAATACTTTCGATGCTAAACTTCTCCCTAAGCAGAACGGCACAATGACTTTGTCAGAATCAGGCCCACGTGACAGTCACCAGAGTACTTTTGACAAGCCCTCTCTTAATGCAACCAGTAGCCCTAAAGCAAACACTTCTAATGCACAACGTCCTAAACTGGTAGAACAGAATAGGACTACAGATACAGACCCTATTGCCAAGATGGGGTGAGTTATCCGAGCGGCCCACATCGTCCGACGTCCACATCGTCCGACGTCCACATCGTCCGACGTCCCGGTGGCCAGTCCGCCCCTGCTGCCACCCCTGAGAGCAAGTTGGAAGCCTATACAGCTGTGAATTCTGGAGCTGATCGACGTAGAACTCAGGACCTTTCACAATCGGGTCTGCCTGTGATGGATGGTTTTTCCGACAGTTTGGCCCATCAAGGCATGGATACGTTCAACTTGGAAGATACCCTTGATTTGAAGGTGGAATCTTTGATCACTTCAACCCCAATGCCTTCAAAAGAAGAGGGCAAAATCTTAGGGGGAGTGAAAAAACTGTATGAGGATGGTCCCATTAAACCGGATGGTCAAGTGCCGTCTGAGGTCCCATCGAACCCCGTCTGTGACCGGAAAACTTTCATGGAGCTTGTAGCTGCAAAATCCCTTTTGCCTCCTTTGAAAACTGCATCCCAGTTGTTCAAACACAAGACAGCCTCCGCGCTTCCAGGAAGGTTTGAGGCGCGGCCATTTGGACAGATCATGACGAGACAAAGAGCAGAGGCTCTTAGAAATACTGCTGCTGCTGCTGCTGCTGCTGCTGCTGCTGCTGCTGCGGATCCTCCACAGGTAGTAGAACTTGAATGGCTTTTTGTTTTCCACTACGTTTACAAAATGTTAACTGCACATTCGGTCAGATAAAAGCAATCAAATGAACTCAATTGACCATGTTAGATTCATCTGTTAAATCCACTTTTTTCATAAACAAGACTGAACAAAAGCTATAACTGTATGGAAGGCTAACAGTCTGTTTCTTTTTTATGTTCTTAAGACTGCAGGAATACCAAGCTCATGCAAGTTACGTGCAACAACAGGTAGGTGGTGTCTATTTTATTTTTAGAATCGGGTTGGAACATTGCATTTTGTTCTTCATAAATGTTGAGGGTGAATTATTAATAGTATGGGATTATAATGGAAGGCATTAAATGTTAAAACGTTATGTATTATTTGTAGACAAAGCAGTATACTTTTGTTTCATTGTGCCCCCCCCCATTATTAACTTCAAGTCTAACTTTAAGCTGCAAACAGTATAATGCCCTTCAATAGAAGATGTTCTGTCTGCACCGTATTCACTATAAACACTGTCTTTCCTCTGTGTTGATGTTAGGATCCAAGCAACCCAATTCCGGCTTGCAGAGGCCGCAGTTGAGTGGAATACCGACCGGGATCCAGAGAGCTGCGACAGGTCTCAGACCACTATCCATGAGAAACGACACATCATCTTCTTCAAAGCAGCCATTAACCAGAGGTGAACCTTTGCCACTAGCAAAGAGGAAGAAAATGGGTAAAAACTCGGTAGAGGAACGCTGTATTGATTCAGACTAGATGGTTAATATGTGCTAAGAAGCGAACTGACAACACCTATAACCAAAACTATTAGTTGAAAAATGTGTGATGGGGTTCGAAATCTGGACTTTTTTCACCTTACTAAAGACTCACTTACTTTGATCTTGTAATTTCAGATACCACCTTCTCAAATGGTAATGCTGAAGCCTCAAAGTCTTCCTGTGATACTGCAAACGGAATCAAAAACCTCAAACGGCCCACAACCACCAAGAGAGCTTTGCCAGCCAAAATCCAAAGGAAAGGTAGGTTGGCACTGTACCATACTGTTCTGATATGTGGAGGTATTTCGTCGTACTGTTATGTGATTTGCTGCTGAAGGGTTTCACGATCTAGTGCAGGGGTCGGCAACAGGCGGACCGCGGTCCGGATCCGGACCCAGACGCCGACCTATACGGACCCGGACCTATAATCAATACATTAATAGGGGATTTCAATTTTGACGGGGCGATTCTATTTTAACCGCCGCCGACAGGGGGCGAAAGAGACGAGTGAGCGATACAGGGAGAGAAACACAGAAGAAGAGACGAGAGAGCGGCAGAGAGAAGCGGAGAGGAAAGTGAGTGAAGAGAATAATTAGCGATACAGGGAGAGAAGCGGTGAATGTGAATACATTTTGGAATACTTTTTGGAATTATTGGTGGAAAAGTTTCCTCATAAAATGTAATATTCATTACCAGCAGAACTGTGTGCACACTGCACAGCGCTGCAGCATGTCTGTGAGGCCCCGCCCCCGCACGCAGATCAGAGAGAGAGATCTTTTTTTAAATATATAGAAACGGAGATGGTTCGATAAAATGTGCAAGATAACGTTTATGTAGCATTTCTTTATTGTCGAAATGATGACATTTCATAACGGGATCAAATCAAAGTGAATGGCCTGCTGCTGCTGAATGCATGGGGCAAGTGACTGGAAACAGTTTTAAAAGTTATTACGTCGTTTCAGATAATAAATAATAATAGTAATTCATTCTATTTAGGGGCGCCTTTCAAAGCACCCAAGGACACCTGACAATTCATAACATATTCTAAGGAAAGGTTTAAGAGAGTACAAATAATGCAGTCCTGGTGATGTTATTTATGTGGGGTGCAGATGAGAGGGAGCTGTCCAGAATGACCCAAAGATGTTGTGTTTGAGTTGTGCTCTTGATAAGCCATTAAAACAGTAAAATAAGTGTCTCCTGTTCACCAAAACATACCCATCTGTTATGGAAAAATAAAGTATTCTAAAAGTAATCTGAATACGTTACTTTTTTAAGACACGTAACTCTAACTGTATTCGGATTACTTTCAGAGCCATGTATTCAGTAACCGATTACATTTACAAAGTAACCCTCCCAACCCTGATTTAAAAGTGCCAAAACGCCACTATGAGACAAAACACAAAGTGTTTGACCAAACATTCCCTCTCAAGTCAGAACTGAGGTCACAAAAAATAAGCAGTCTCAGAGCCCAATATGATCAGTCCACCAGGATCAAAATTAAAACTAAATATCGTTCCAGGGCAGGCTAACCGAGGCTAACCAATGAGCACCTGCATGTGTGTATGAGAATGGCCCTGACACCATTTCAGCCCAGATTTAAACTCCTGGCAGGACAAGCTCAAGCTCAATTCTCGCACTGAATTAAAGAAAAGTGAGTGAGGGACTGCAATACAAGAGGGAAAGAAAGAGAAACTTTAAAACTGTTCAATTGTTATGATGTGTAAAGACTGATATGTTCTATAATCGTCTGAAACTGTTAAGTCATGATGTGAAACGGTTAACAAAGCTATTTTATTTATTTCTCTATTTTATTTTTAAATGCAGCCCGAGAGGAACATTACACATATCCACAGTATTTACTGTATATCTGTATAGTTCAATGTTAATTGACAATAAATATTGTTGTTTTTGAATTGTACTTTCTTTATTTGATTGGCAGTCAGTTGTTGATTACATGCAGACGTTGATACAGCTACAGGCTACTTCAATATATATCACACTAATTCATAAAGCAAGTTAGATATTTTGATGTTCCGGACCTTTGCATGGGGAGATTTTCTCTAACTGGACCTCGTTGAATTTTAGTTGAATACCCCTGGTCTAGTGTGTTTAATAACTTGGACTATTTGGGAGTTACTTACCTTTTCACTATCACAGTTTCACTTTTTTTAATTGAATTACTGAAATATTAACTAACTTTTCCAGGATATTCTAACTTATTGAGATGCACCTGTATGTGTTTATGACAAGATGATATCTATCAAGGAAGCAGAAGCGTTACACAGAAGTTATACATGAGGAAGTCACCATCACTTATCCAAGTCTGGTTTACAGAAAAATAAAAAGATAAATAATTTGACACTGTCCTTATCCTGCTTAATGTAATGATTTCATTTGTATTACAGGCTGCGCCCACTGCTTGAAGAAAAGTAAAGAAGAAGAAGAATGCTAAGAATATACAGAGCATAATATAACAAGAGTTTCAGCATTTGGGTCATACAGTGCTAGTCCCCGGGGTGTCGTCAGATCCTTTTTGATGCTGGTTTTCCTAAACCAGAGAAAAGCTTTGGGTACATTTGTTGTACTGTTTCCTTGGATTCTAGGGAGACATTATCTAATCTAGCAACCAAGTGTAGTGCTCGAGCAGCCGACCCGCTTAACAGTGGCATGGCCAGCCCTTCAATCACATATACATCTTCATTTATGCTTTTATCATTTTTCCTCAGAGTGGCTTCAAACTTTCCTTTTACCTTCAAAAGCTCCTTTCCTGGCCCCTTCAGAACCCTTGTTGGGCTCATCAGCCTGTTGAACTGGCTCTGAGTGTACAGTGTATGAGGAACTGCAGTAACATCTGCTCCAGTGTCGATTTTAAACACTGCATTGTAGCTGTCCACATTGATGTCTGTCATCCAAGGATTGCTCCTTATACAGTGGCGTTTTCTCCCGGAGGCCAAGGGAAGCCAGGCTTCCCCTGTTATTTCGGATTGTAGTTATAATTTAAATAAATAAATAAAAACACTTTGTTTTGTTTCGATAATTCTCCTTTGCTGTGTGTTGCTGCCGGCCCGTCTCTCCCCCACTCTCATTGAGTATTTTACAAAGAGTGAAACAAACAGCGCCCCTCTAGATGTTATGGTGAAACAGTAGATTGCATTCACTGTTGCGAGAGGAGGCCAGCTGAATCGGGCTTCCCTTGGTGAAAAAAATTGAGGGATTGACCAATCAGATGAGGCCCACGTGATGCCCCTGCCAACCTGTGATTGGCCAGGGCCATGCCAAGGGAAGCCAGCCACCTCTGGCTTCCCTTCAGAGGCGGCTGGTGGCTGGCGATTTGATTGGACACTGCCATCCAATCGATCACCTGAATAGATGAGATTGTTTATATTTTTTAGTTACTTTTGGACTACGGACTGAGCTAATTACAGAGACGAGGACTGTTGCTGCACTTGCCGTGTGTTAGAAAGGGAAGGGAAGAGAAGGTGGACTATCGCATGCAAATGTTTCTGTACATAATTGTTTTTGAATTCATGTGTTTCATACACGCCTACTGATACTTTGATGTGAACCTAAAACTTTAAAGGTCTCCTGATTTACTTTGTGAATGAATGCTTCTTTTTTGCGCATTGAGCGGCTGGTATTGCATTTGGGGGGGGGGGGGTGTGTCTGCATAAATTAATAAGAAAATGCTTAAATTAATAAGACGAGAGAGTTTAGGCTGGAGAGTGTGTGCGGACCTGTCGGTTAGATAACAGGCGTGTGCAAGTCCTGCATCTGTGTGATACAAATGTGTGTAAAATGATACCGGGCGCTGTAATCACTCATCTGGTTACGTTATTGACCACCACCACCCCCCCCCCCCCCCCCCCCCCCAATAATAATAGACGGCACTAAACCTGACGTACTTTTTGGTCCGCTGGTTCTGTGTCTGCTGGGCCAGGTTCTGCTCCTGGTGTTCCTTCTGCTGGGCCAGTTGCCGTTCCTGCTGGGCCAGATCCTCTCCTCCTCGTTTCCTCTTGCCTGGGTGACAAGATAATTATAGCAATAAGAATAATTAGCAATAAGAATGAAAAACACAGGACAGGTACAGGTCACACAAGGATATAAGAATAAAATGTATAAACAGAACAACAGTAAGGATGAACTAAAGAAAGTTCTGGCCCTAGATGTTTACAATGATTGTGAATTTCCAGCCTGTTGATAATGAATATAAATATATGTATATAATAGGATGTCACACACAATTGTACTAGCTGCTTACTAGCTAGTTACTTTACTTGTAACAGAGCATTCCCACACAGTGGTACAGCTTATTTTACTTACTGACGAGGGATGATCTAAAGTTTAAAAAAAAGTCACACTTCCAGCCTATTTCTTATCTAGAACAACACGCAGCGGTGTCGAGCTGGCACTCGGCGTTGGTGTCTGTGCTCGTGTTGGGGTTTGTCCCGTCTGTGGTCGTGTTGGGGTTTGTTCCGTCTGTGGTCGAGTTGGAGTTTGTTCTGTTGGAGTTTGTTCTGTTGGAGTTGATGTGGAGGGGACTGTTCCTCCTCGCTAGTCCCAATGTAATCATCTAGAACAGAAACATGACTTGTTAATTCCACAAACTACTGCAGCACAATACTATAAATAGCAACAACAACTATAGAAAAGAAAAACTGAACGTAAACAATGGCACATATGGTGTTAGCAAACAATGGCTCAGTGTTTCACCTATATACAAATAGCGGCGGAGCTATTTCTTCTTCTAAAAAAAAATATATATATATATTTGTTTTACTTTATTATTAAAATAATAAGTGGCGACCCTTTTTCATTTGTGATTGTTTGTTATGTGGATTTGTAATATTTGTGTTACTGTATGTTCAATAAAGGTGTATTTTTGCTAAATCTTGAGACATTGCCACTGTATGTACTAGGCAGGGCTGATTTTTGGCATAGGCGACATAGGCGGTTGCCTAGGGCGCCAGATCTGGGGGGCGCTGCGCTGGTAGCTCTGGGAGGGGAAAAAAACGTTTTGACCGTTGGCGCTCATCCTAATTTTCAGCCTTGATGTAACAACATTCATAATTAAGTAAATGTAACACCCTTTTCACCCCGGTTACACTTTTAATTTGCCCTGTACAATGGGCGCTGTAAGTGACGAAAGTGGGGGATGTTGGCTTACCAGTGCGAGCATGGGAGTGAGAGAGGGAGAGAGAGAGAGTGCGCACCGGTACCGGCGCTGTTGTTATTAGAATCTGGTGCTAGCTGCGCTAACGGATATAAGAAGTAGATGTTTCTACAACCAGGGTGGAGGAGAGCTCTCCTGTCAGACTGAGAGGCTCAGTGAGGTAAAGGACTGAGTGTTTAGATAGTTCATTTTAGTCTAAGTTATCTCAGTGGGTCTCAAACGTTTTGACCACAAATTATGTAAACACATATTTCCAAGGCACTCCTTTATAATTATTAGGATAAATAAAAACAGGTTTGAAATCATTCCAATGTATACTATAGCAGGGGTTCCCAACCTTTATTGTGCCAAGGACCGGTAGATACATTAAAAAAAAATCGCGGACCGGTTGTCAATTTTCAACTGATTTTAATATTTACTCACCACCAGCAGGTAGCAACAGAGGCTAATTGTATGTAACAGCCTGAACAAATACTAGAACAATATGCATCCAAAACATATTAACAACGTTTAAAAAAGAACCGGTGTTGTTTTTTGGTTTTTCGGAAAACCAAAAAACCGACGTTATTCAGTTTTTAAACCAAAACGGGAAAACAGATACATTATGATTGATTTACGGATAATCCAGTGAATGCTGGGAAAACGAGGTGTGTGTGTGTGTGTGTGTGTGTGTGTGTGTGTGTGTGTGTGTGTGTGTGTGTGTGTGTGTGTGTGTGTGTGTGTGTGTGTGTGTGTGTGTGTGTGTGTGTGTGTGTGTGTGTGTGTGTGTGTGTGTGTGTGTGTGTGTGTGTGTGTGTGTGTGTGTGTGTGTGTGTGTGTGTGTGTGTGTGTGTGTGTTCAGAAGATATTATGATAGTGTCGTTCGTTCCGGTGCACTCCCGACAGCATTTAGCACTACATCGAGATTAAGATTAAACTAATTTATTTTGGGAACAGCCGCATATATGCCGGTGTCGGACAGACCCGAACACACAGAGCTGAGCAGAGCACATACACACACACATCATGCGCCTTGGTGACTGACTGGACATCTCCTTCATAAAACTAATAAAAGGGGGAGTAATCGGGCAGTTCGATGTGTGTAGATGTGTGTGTGGTTAACACGTAGCAGCCTGCAGTCACTCTTAAACTGTTCTGATTAAGTTAAACACAGCGAAGGCGGTGCGTAAAAAGGCACAGCTCTTTACCGAGTATACGTCCCGCTGCCTCCTGATGTTGCAGCCATGTCATGAAGTGAAGGAGGGTTTCCTTCTATAAAACAGCTGCGTGCAGCAGATACCGTGAGAGTCCCGGACATTAATTCATAGATCAAGGCAGACTGGTTTACTCTCCTGTTTTGCCAATCCGGTGCTTAAACAAATAGCTCTACACCCCTGGCCGACATGTCCTTAAAATGAAGTCCGAGTTTGAAATCTATCTCAAATAATGTATGCACCACCATTTCCCCACATAAACATAACAGTCTGAAATCAAACGGTTGTCTCCTGTGCGCTCCTCTTCCTACTTGGCGCACCGGTAACATGCTCGTGCGCACAAGAGGCTGAGACCTTAGGCTGAGCCGCCGAATCCCTCGGAACATCATAAAAGCCATTTTCAACCGTTTTCTGGTGAAAGATTAACTAGCTACTGGATGAAATAATATGACTGGTGGCATAGGTGCGAAAATTAAACACTTTTTGAAAAAAATATTATGATATATTTATAATTCTGCAAATATTACGATAAACTCACAGCGGACCGGGGGTTGGGAACCCCTGTACTATAGGACAGTAAACCAAAAATATCGTTTAAAGTTGGAGAGATACAAAAATATGAATAAATAAATGTTAACTAGGTAAAATAAGATATGAATGAACAACAAAAATAAAATAAGTTACATTTATTTGTTATCGGCATTGGTAGGTTATTGGTTATGTTCATATACTTATTTGATTATTAAAATGTAAACCGATCTTTTTCATATGGGTGTTTTAGAGTTGTACCCCCTAGATCAGGTCTCTAGTAATTGTGTGCTCAAAGTGCACCAGATTGAAGCATTTTACTTTAAAATGTTCAATAAATCTTCCCGGGGGACATACCCCCGGACCCCCCTAGAGCAGTGGTTCCCAATCTGGGGGGGCCAGGCCTCAGATGATTTGAGGTCAAATAACATATTTAGACTTTTTTTTTTATTTCTTTTTTTACATATATTTGTAACGCAATACATGATTGTCACTAAAAGCCTTGTCTCTACATTACAATAAAATATAAAAAATACTTGATTAATTAATTTGAATAAAAATTCAAGTTAGTAGCTATTATAGGCATAACAAGAAAGAAATGTATAATTCTTTCTTTAATAGAAATGTTTCTTCTGCCCGTAAAGTGTCCAAACCAGGCTTTTCTGGATAGGCGCATTTTTAAAACATAGTCATTGTCCATGCCGGTTTCAGATTATTTGTCACAGTTGCTCCGATCAGATTGGTCTCCTCCATTTTGTAGATTATTTACGACTTTTGAATCCACATAAACACATCGGCAAAATCCGGTTTACTTTGAGCATGTGTTTTAAACTGAAGTTACCTACTGTAACTCCAGCTTCTATGAGTATTGGCGTAGCCCTCTAAGGCTATCGCTATTGGGTAATCCCCCTGCTCACCCGCGCAGCACTGAAACACTTGTAGTCCACGCCCGCCCGCAAGGTGGGCCCCACCCTCGGGCTCCCTTCCGGTATAAATAGGAAGGAGGCCCGACAATCTGCTCCCACACAAAACAACTTTTCTTCAGCTATTCGTGGAGCCAGTGGGGCCCAGAACTTAGAGGGCTACGCCAATACTCATAGAAGCT